ACGTGACCGAGTTGACCAGGGTAGTGGACCGAGTTGACCGAGTTGACCGAGTTGATCGAGTGACCAGTGACCGAGTTGACCGAGTTGACCAGGGTAGTGGACCGAGTTGATCGAGTTGACCGAGTTGACCGAGTTGACCAGGGTAGTGGACCGAGTTGATCGAGTTGACCGAGAAATTGACCAGGGTAGTGGACCGAGTTGACCGAGTTGACCGAGTTGACCAGGGTAGTGGACCGAGTTGACCGAGTTGACCGAGTTGATCGAGTTGACCGAGTTGACCGAGTTGACCAGGGTAGTTGACCGAGTTGATCGAGTTGAGTGAGTTGACCGAGTTGACCGAGTTGACCAGGGTAGTGGACCGAGTTGACCGAGTTGATCGAGTTGACCGAGTTGACCGAGTTGACCGAGTTGACCGAGTTGACCAGGGTAGTTGACCGAGTTGATCGAGTTGACCGAGTTGACCAAGTTGACCAGGGTAGTGGACCGAGTTGACCGAGTTGACCAGGGTAGTTGACCGAGTTGATCGAGTTGACCGAGTTGACCGAGTTGACAGAGTTGACAGAGTTAACCGAGTTGACCGAGTTGACCGAGTTGATCGAGTTGACCGAGTTGACCGAGTTGACCGAGTTGACAGAGTTGACCGAGTTGACCGAGTTGATTGAGTTGAGTGAGTTGACCGAGTTGACCGAGTTGACCAGGGTAGTGGACCGAGTTGACCGAGTTGACAGAGTTGACCGAGTTGATCGAGTTGACCGAGTTGACCGAGTTGACCGAGTTGACCAGGGTAATGGACTGAGTTGACCGAGTTGACCGAGTTGATCGAGTTGACCGAGTTGACCAGGGTAGTGGACCGAGTTGACCGAGTTGACCGAGTTGACCGAGTTGACCGAGTTGACCGAGTTGACCGAGTTGACCAGGGTAGTGAACCGAGTTGACCGAGTTGATCGAGTTGACCGAGTTGACCGAGTTGACCAGGGTAGTGGACTGAGTTGACCGAGTTGACCAGAGTTGACCAGGGTAGTTCTTGTTCGAATTCTTGTTACAGTTTTGGGGAAATGCATCATACTTTGCCTTAGACGTTATGCCTATACTGTTATACAGTAAGTTAAAATGTATCATCTTCTAAATTTTATATTTCATAGACCTGTCACCTAGAGTTTGCCTCGTGGATCTACGATGGAGAAGAGTTGGACGTCACCACACGGTCAGACGATATTGACATCTCTGCATACCAGAAAAGTGACCAGTTTACCCTCACAAGCGCTACGGCAAAAAGAAATGTAGGTTAGCCCCTTTCACACTTTCACGAATTTGGCCTCCAGAACAGTAGCCAAACGTCCCTCACGCTAAAATGCATAATATTTACCTTCGCATATGGTCTGCTCTGTCTTACTCAAAACCATTCATATATATTGTCAGACAGGAGTCTAAGTCCCTCCTGCTTTAAAATTGCAACATGATGTAACCCAACACTAGTTACCATGGCGACAGACGTCTGGTTTAGGTCATTGATCTTATTCGTTTGGAGAAGAAGAGGAAACAGAGCAAAAACAATATGTTTGCCTTCGGTAAACCAATTAATATTTCAAGGCGCAGTCACATTTCTCGTAGGACGTCGTACAATTTTCATATCATAGAATTTTCAAGCAGGCTATTACAGAATCAATCAACCACCATCAAGGATCTATAAGAGCTTTATTTTCGTAACAAGAGTCAAGACAGTTGAAGACTGTACGACGTATGCACGACTGTACCAAGAATGCTGTCAGTTTGCCATTGACAGGTATTGGCAAATAACCTCACATTTGAGTCAAGCTGATCTGGTAGGTCATTTATATACAAGAGGGAGAGCAGTGCATTGTCCCAGGACGGTTCCTTGGGGCACCCCGGACGCTACTCTAACTGGAGCCGACGCCTTCCCTTCTACCACTACTGTTTGCTCCCTGTCGGTCAGGAAAGCCTTTAACCAATTCAGTGTAGGGCCATGGATTCCATAATAAAAAATGAGATAAGCCGGGCATGGGGGACTTTTTCCAAAGCTTTGGTGATATCGAGTATTGCTAAATCTGCCTGCCTTTTGCTGATCAGTGCGCCAACTATGTCATGGACTGTTAGTATAAGCGTGACTTACGCGTCCTCCCTGTGTTGCAGGTTACAAAGTACGACTGTTGCCCACAGCAGTACCCGAGTGTTGTCCTGACCCTCCGTTTGAAGCGGCTTCCCCTGTTCTACATGGTGAACATGGTGATCCCGTGTGTCTTCATGTTGATTCTCAACATCGCAGCTTTCTTCATACCACCGGACAGCGGAGGTATGCGTTTGTTTGTTTGTTTGTTTGTTTTCTGTTTGTTTGTTTGTTTGTTTGTTTAGAATCACCATTATTGCGACTCCAGGAAGTTTGACATCTCAGATTTTTTGTCCTGTTTGTTCCAGAGAGACTGGGTTTCACGATCACCATCCTCCTGGCGTTAGTCGTGTTTCTACAGCTCCTGACTGGTCAGCTACCGCAAACTTCCAGGGCCACTCCCCTTTTAGGTACATGAGCATTTTTCTTGTCATGTTAAACTACATAAAACATTTTAAAACAGATTTCGATAGAATCTCTTAAAGGGGCATTATTTGCACCAAAGATTGAAATATTTTAATTGAAAAAATCTTTGTGATTGTAATTTACTACAAAGTTGATATAATGTCACTCATGCCTCAACAGGGAAGTATTTCACTTCGACCATCGTCATCGTCACGATGTCCATCCTGGCGACCATCCTGGTCATCCGGCTGACTCACTCCAGCCCTCCCTCCCGCCCGCTGCCTCGATGGCTCCGCCTGGTCCTCCTGAAATACGTCGCTAGTTTCTTGTGCCTTTTCGGTATCGTCAAGGCACAGAAACAAGATCTTCGACATCATGAGAGGAACAAACCAGCAGGGGAAGTCTCCGGAGTCGAAATGAGGGCGACGGGCGCTACTACTAGTGCCAACGACCAACAGCGAAGTTTGTATCCTGGGGGGTCACCTGTTGTCATCAGCTACATGCAAAGGATTCTGGGACATATCAGAGAAATGGCGACCAGCGTGAGCAACATGGAGTGGGAAGCGGAGCAACAGGACGACTGGAAAATGGCGGCGTTGGTTCTGGACAGGGTGGTTATGATATTAACGACCATTGCCTCTGTGGCCGTTAGTCTGGGACTGCTCCTCCATTAATCCTATTCATATAATGACAATAACAGCAATGGATGAAACAGTAAGATAATGTATGTATCATAACTGATTATTCATAATAATAATTGTGGTCTTCACCCACTGTATAGTCTATAAAGTCTGGTCAAATAAATATATGACAGGAATAGAATAAACTGACGAAATGTAAGCAATCTAAGATCATATATATGCATGCACGTCCCATTTTGCCCTTCAACAACAAAGCTGGTGCTGGTGATTAGAGCTGCTGGTAAGTGAATGAATGATTTAGTGAATGAATGAGTGAATGAGTGAGTGAATGAATGAATGAATGAATGAGTGTACTAGCTGTACTAGCTCTTCCAGGATGGAGGAATAAAGAATGGAAAGGAATGAATGAATGGCGTTTAGTACACATGTTTGCCCCGATGGGCTAAGTACAGGTCACAACAAAATGTCAGACACAGTTAACAGGTACAAAATAAAACTAACTATCATTATAAATTTAACTTAACTTGTTCTAGAAATACATGGGAAAAACAAAGAGTCAGGAGATGTAGCCACGGGTGCCAACCTTGGGCACGACAAGAAAAGCCAACAGCCAACAAATGTTGAACAGTAGACATCACTATGACGCCATGGACAACAATGCACAGCCATCTTGTTGCACTGATAACCCCTAATCATAGGTGGTCAACATGAATTACATCCTCCTTTATCCACATCTGGTTAGACCGGCCCTGGTGTATACATCAAGGTATCATCAAGTCTGTATTCACTCCAGCCGTGGCGACTGATGCAGGGCTTCTCTCAAGCCCCTAACTGTCACACATATAGCTAAAAATGGTCTCCCGAACACTAGACGAACTCGCCCCAACCATGGTTAGGAGTAAGTCGTGATTAAGGTCGGCTGGTGTTCGGCTGCACCAGTCGAATGTTATAAAAATGTTTAAAACATGCGGGTGTGGACGGGAGGTTCGGCCATGGTTGACTGGTGTTTGGCTGGTGTTCGGGTGTAGGTCGGAGCATGTTTGGCAGTCACATCTGACTCCAATTTAACTCAAATTCGATTCGATTGAAAGTAAGTCAAACTGCTCCCGAACTTCAGCCAACCTTGGTCGGCTGGTGTTCGGGGGAAGGTTCTGAATGTGTGACTGGCCATGGAGCTTTACTTGCTGCTATATATTTATGATAAATATAGCCCGTATATAAGACATCAAAGGTGGAACCGAAGAACAGTACGTTCACATAGAATAGAACTGGCGTTTTCAGAGTAGTCTTTATAGTACAGCTTGTCTTGCCTACCTTCAAGGCCACTTGGCCAATAATGTAACCTGTGTTGACATTATGTATTATAGTATTAGTTCTGCACCATGGGATAATTGTACACATGCCAACATTAGTGACCACTCCTCACAGTAAGCATGCCCAGGGGCCACACCTTGGCGTTTGTTAACATTCTCTGTGTCTGGGAGTACGTCAGAAAATGGAGGTCCGTACCAAATTTCTTGTCGGTGCTATGTTTGTATGTGTCTACTGTTTACAAGGTAGGTTAACAACTGTATCAAACTTACAAGTAGTCAGTGTCTGTTGTAGCGAACCAATAACTGTGTTATATTTACGTTATTGGGCATGATTTGTGTACTGTGACTAAAGAGGATTTTATGCTCAGACTGAGTGAACTACGTTCACCCTATGCGTGGGGTGACACGTTGTCGTTTTCTCACGGTGTTGCCCAATACAAAGCCAAATGGCTGACTTCTTCTAAGTTCTATAAGCACTGAGCTAGGCTGAATTATGGCAAATATATGACTATCCCGAAATATAGCGGTGAATGTCTGTTTTGCAGGTATACAGAAAAAAAGTATTTCGAGTCTTACGGTAGCCAAAAAGACCCCATTGTTAGTCAGGATACTAGTAATCTCCAAGTACAAGTAGATCGGTGCTAATGCCATACACTGGATACTGCCTGGCTGCCAGGACCTGCTTGGAGATTAACTCAGTTAACGAACTAGTAAATCGGTGAGAGGCATAATCATATAGTCTACTCTCCACAAATAACCAAGGCTTCAACTGGCGTGTCAATGCATGTGTCCATTGTGGTAACTTGCGTGTCTTCTGCTAATCTCTATTATTATATTACACTCAGCCCCTTGCACAATTCACTAGAACGGACTGAAGAATAAGCCATGCATAAGTATAGATCAAGTAACCCAGGTATGAGGGAAGGGCGTTAGTTTTGGACCTTTCTCTGTAACACTTTCATAGACTAGTATATAGCAGAGGGGATTCATTTCTCAAGCTAACCGACATCTCGCACACGCAGTCGTCCCACAGTAAGACATCTGGAGCCACCATAGATTCCGTTTAGAACTTTATTCAGCCTTTCACAGTGTGCGAGATGTCGGTTAGCTTGAGGAATGAATCTCCTCTACTGTGTATTTTTCGTTTATCGTACAGAGTGATTGTCTTTGTCGTGTCATTTGGCCTTCAATCAGATCTATTTGACAAAAAAGGAGACACACTACAGAGTTTATATACATAATCCAGACGATCTAATAATCAATTCACGTTTGGTTTAACAATTGGCTGGAATAAAAGAAGAATGAAAAACATTTTGACGCGATCTTAAGCTAGACAAGTCGGCGTTTCAACAGCGAAGGGTACAAAGAAAAAGGTCAAACCGTTTTTTGTTGTATTCAAGTTCGCTCAACTGCGTCACAGTTGGAGGTACTGGTGTCATTGCCAAACCTGCTCATCAAGTGACTGACATTTCAGACAATATTATCAGACGATCTTATTCACCGGAAAATGTGGTATGCTTCGCACGCACATTAAAGCTGGTGTGTTATAACGAAGGGCGGTTCTACCGGCTATACCGATACAGATACACATGGGCCTTACTCCCACTAGGATAAAATTGTCCTGATAGTGCCGATTGATTTGGTTTGATCTGGATCAGATTCGCAGCCGGCTCGAAGCCGGATTCAATTCGGCTTGATCCGGACAATTTTATATCTAGTGGGAATGGGGCCTGGTCGAAAGCGCCAGCTAGGTGACAGAACTACATGTATATTGTGTTGAATCAAAGTTTTAACTTTAAACATGTAACTAACAACACAGATGAGCTTTCATAAAGTTTGACTATATCTTCTGATTCTCCCCAGGAGTGGTTGGACAATACGCGGCCTTCCCTCTGAGGAAGAGACTTCTGGAGGACTATGACAGACGTGTGCGGCCGGTACGGGACCAGAGCACCACGGTTACACTGGACGTCGACGTGGCGCTGAGACAAGTTGTGGGACTGGTACGTTAAACCTGTATTATGTAACAGCATTGAGGTAGCTCCATGGTAACATTAGGAAGATACATCAAGAAAATGTTTTGGTCATTTCTGTACAAAGTATTAAAGTTAAATCAACCCTACTCCACTGCAAATAAGTACCATTCAGGAATTGGATATGCCAAAATATAAAACCTTACGAGTAAGTTTGAAACCTGGAAACACAGCCATGTTTGTTTACAACACGCTCCGTACCTTTTCCACAGACATCACCAGATGGTACCATACAGCTATATGAACAACTATACAGGCCGTCCAACGCTATAGATATTACAAAAATTCCTCCTGCAGTACCAAGGTCAATCATCACCAGGCGCCTAAAAATTAACCTTTCCCATCCGGTTCAACCCACCTACCCACCTGCTAAATACCATTGGGTATCGCGTGAAGAGATACCGTGCTACTGTATATTGCCATGGAAAAGATCACTTCCCAAATTATACCTTAACAGTGTATTTTGTACCACAGAACGAACTAAAGGAAGTCTTCACAACACTGCTATGGCTGCGACTAGTAAGTAACAAATACGGAGACTTAGAATACTAATGTTGGACAGTTTACTGAATGAAATGCAATTTAATGTAGTTGGATATAGGAATTTCCTTTACACAACCAGTCATATCTATAGACTGCAATACGTTTCGATGTCTATCAGACCACTTTCTTTGGAACTTCTGACTGGAGTACTGCTTCTCGTCGCTGTAACTGTTACATGTAACCGATGTACATCGTAGGTGGCGCTTTTGCGGAGAGAACACAATTCTCAAACGTGTCTAAGTTTGTATCCCCCCTCGTCTCGGTTCATTTATAATACTTCATTTGACTTTCTTATCCAGACTGCATTCTTGATCCACGTGGCGTTTTGGTCTATTTCAAACGACTTTCTTTAACTGTCAAAGTACTAATTTGGGCCACAAATTATAATGTAATACGATATTTGAAGTTTACAGAACATTTAAAGTACAATCAGATAAAGAAGAACAGAATTATTATCATGTTGAAACATGGAGATGGTGTTTTTGATGAACGTTTCAGTACTGGACAGATGAATTCCTGCAGTGGAACATGTCACAATATGACGGCCTGGCCACGACGACATTCCAATCTTCAGAAATTTGGAGACCGGACGTCTTCCTCATCAACAAGTGAGTATAAAGACCCTGTTACTCGTACAACCTTACCCCGACCACCAGCCGACCAAGGTTGGCTGAAGCCCCTGTCACACATTCAGAACCTTCCCTCGAACACCAGCCGACCAAGGTTGGCTGAAGCCCCCGTTACACATTCAGAACTGACGGAAAATGGTTGCTTGTTTTGCTATCGTAGGCTAGTATAGCTATTTACAGGCAGCACTCAAACAATGCTATTTCAACCCTCCTGGTATGAAATGATGAATAAAATGTGCTAAGAAATGGCAGTAAATGTCAATAACAGACAGATTTGCTCACCCAGTATATTTCCTCCTTTTACCAGCCTGAAATTGATTCAGATGTCTTTAACTGCTGTTTTTAGTATCGGAGAGGGATCGGGAAACCTGCTGCCGGTGACTGACGTGAGCGTGTCCAGTGAGGGCCGTGTCGCCTGGCGCCAGCCCGGCCTGTTCCAAAGCACGTGCGCAGTGGACGTCAGCCAGTTTCCTTATGACGAACAGGTAAGGGCTTCTTTACGCCCCCCACTCCCTCCTTTCTTCAATGCTTCCCTGAAATTGTATTGGAGGAGACCTTCAATACGTTTGTTCCAATACAAGGACTGGTCTCACTGGGGCAGTCTATTGAAGAAGACCAGAGGTATACGTACTGGTCGAAATTCTTTGTCTTGGCACGAATTCCTGTCTTTAAGTACATTAATGCCTTAAAACACACGTAAAGGTCCACGCGAGACACGTAAAGAGTGGATTTTGTTTTATACTCCGTCTGATATTCAATTTGTTTTCTCTGCCTTGTAGACGTGCGTGTTAGAATTCTCCTCCTGGCTGTATGGTGGAAACGACTTGAATCTCCGCAACGTCTCTGCCACCATGGATCTGACAGCATTTCAACAGAACGACCAGTTTGAAGTGACACATACGAAAGTAGAGAGAAAGGTATAAAAGTGTCTTTGCCTTGGTAAGTAAACACTTTCGTCTGCGTGCAACCTCCACATAAAAATAGAGGTATATTGTTTTCTCTCTGTCTCTGTCTCTCTCTCTCTGTCTCTCTCTCTGTCTCTCTCTCTCTCTCTCTGTCTGTCTGTCTCTCTCTCTCTGTCACGCACATAGTGAATAGTGATCAGCACCAAGGACAGGTATGCCGCATGGAGTTTGTACGAAGGGTGGTTAGCAAATGGAGCTTGTCTGTTTGGTTGTTGATGAAAAATTGACGTTTTTTTATCTCTCTCTCTCTCTCTCTCTCTCTCTCTGTCTCTGTGTGTGTGTGTGTGTGTGTGTGTGTGTGTGTTTTGTGACGATGCTCCAATCAAATCGTTGTTGTACGGTGCTCACAACATCTCGAACATCGTGCAAAAAGAAAAGGGTTTTCAGCCTGTGTATGTGTGTGTGCGTGTATGTGTGCGTGGATGGTGCTCAGTACCAAGGGCAGGTATGTTTTCCTGTGTGTGGATGGCGTTCAGCACCAGGGACAGGTATGTTTACCTGTGTGTGGCTGGCGTTCAGCACCAAGGACAGGTATGTTTTCCTATGTGTGGATGGCGTTCAGCACCAAGGACAGGTATGTTTTCCTATGTGTGGATGGCGTTCAGCACCAAGGACAGGTATGTTTTCCTATGTGTGGATGGCGTTCAGCACCAAGGACAGGTATGTTTTCCTGTGTGTATGTTTTTCTGGCTTTGATAAACTTCAGTTTCCCCCGAGTAAACAGACTCTTTTTACACAAGCAAGTGTTTATTCACATCCGACGTTTGTTTTGGTGATCGTCTGTCTCCTTCCTCAGGGCAATTCTGACTGGTTCACTGGTATCTATAGCAGCGACACATGTGCTGCAGTGCTATATGAACCAGTCAGAATTGCCATGAGGAAGGTGGCAGACGGCTGAATGACTAGGTTGTGTAAAAAGGCTGAAAGACATGGTTGTGTAAAATGAGTCCCTATAATCAGCGACTTCCCAACCTGATGAAACTATTCACGGGTGTTGTTTCCCTGACTCCAGGTGACGCACTATGACTGCTGCCCGGGTCCCTGGCCTAGTATCGAGCTGCACATCCACCTGAAGCGGCGCCGCCTGTTCTACATCGTCAACATGGTGATTCCCTGCCTGGACCTGCTCATGCTGAACCTGGCAGCCTTCTACATCCCGCCCGACAGCGGAGGTAAATCTCTTCAATGTTTTAAAATCTTTATTCATTTTAGTCAACATATCAGAGAAATGCACACTTACGTGTAACCACTGTTATAGCTCCGTGGTGGAACGTTATATACACTGTACATGTACTCTTGAATTACAAAATTCGCATTCCTTGTGAAATGCGAAGACCAACAAGTACAGTTCTTCAAGATCTCTCCACTCTTCTCGTTTGAAGGCATAGATCCCACTTCTGACACCATGTGACACGTTCTGTCTTATCTCAGATTGTCCTTAGGGTAGGAATCCATTGACTGAACACTAAGCCATAATTCTCAAATCCGCTTGTTTATTCCTCAGTCGCTCACCAGACTTCCTTCGTCTGTGAGGGTCTTTGTCTTTTCTTGTTGTTCATGAGTCGTTATATGTTAATGATCCTAACTATCAACACATGTTACAAACTGTATCTGGTTTTCAGAGAGACTAGGTTTCACCATCACGCTCCTCCTGTCACTGGTCGTGTTTCAACAACTATTGACAACCCAGCTGCCGGCTACTTCCACATCCACTCCCATGCTCGGTAATTAATGATTTTCACGCGCCTGTATAGCATATTTCAAAATGTAATCCTGTATTTTTAACATGTCGATGCTTTGTAAACTGGTTTATAATTCCGTTTTTTTACTGCGACGAACCAATAAATCTTGAATCTGAATCTACTTTTTCACAGGGAAGTTCTTCACGGCCACGATCGTCCTGGTGACCGTCTCTCTGCTCATCACCATCCTGGTGCTCCGGCTGTCCCACCCCGCCCACCCGTCCCGTCCGCTGCCCCGCTGGCTCCGCCTGCTGCTGCTCAACTACACCGCGTCCTTCTTCTGTATGTGCAACATCGCTAATGACCAGTCAGCCCCACGTAACGGCACCAAAAACGACTGGTCAGGCGACGACACCGAAATGAAGGACCTCTTTCTCGACAGTCGGCACCAGAACGACCCCAAAAATCGACCGATACTTCAAGAGATTTCATCAAAGGTGGAGGAGATCATGGCCTATCTGAGGGATAAAGTGGACGGGGAGGCGGAAGAAGGAGAATGGAAGATGGCGGCTCTTGTACTGGACAGAGCCGCCATGTGGGCGACCGCCGTCGCCTCTGTGACCATCAGCCTTGTGTTTCTTCTGTAAGGCAAATGTAGCCTCTACCAGCAGGATTCGGGAGGCGGTTAGAAAGACTAGAAATCGGCCAAATAGGGAGATAACATGCCAGGGGAGTTGGTCCGCTAGAGTTTTCAGTGCGGCAAACTGTATTCTCTAGCGGACCAACTCCCCTGGCATGTTATCTCCCTATTTGATATATAATTGGCCGATTTCTACTATTTCCAACTGGCTCTGCGTTCCTTTGCCGGCCACCCTACAATTACAACAAGCCGCACAGAGAAAGTTTGTACCCGCGCGCCACGGACCTTCTCTGGGCGGCTGGTTGTTGTAGGATGGCCGGCAGTCAAAAGAACGCGTTAAAAATTCTACGCAGTATCAAAACTCCCACCCGCCCGGAGGCCTGCACTGAAGGCTAATCACAAACTCTGTCCTGGCTACACACATCACTGTCACGAAATCTACCACTGTATGACAGCAGCGTCATTTCAGGCTGGGGAACCTGTAATTGTAGAGACCACCTGTTAACAAAAGGTCAAGAAACGCATTAGCAGTATAACCCCTGGGCCCCTCTAGGTATAAAGGCTTTTAATGACCAGTCTTTAAATGGTAGGATCGAAGGGACACGTTACTCTTTGGTGGCAGCTGTCCAGGCCCGTCAAACATAGCGGAATAAGCCCCCGCGAACGCTAGCCGAACTCCCCTCAACCAATGGTTGGGAGTAGGTCGGGAGCAAGGTCGTAATGCATGTGTATGATTATGGATTTTCATTAGCTGTATTCACCTTCATGTATGAAGTGCAGAAGAAATAACGGCAGTATGATCCACACTTTCTAAATTCTCAGCGGTGAAACTAAAATTTGCCTGATACAGGTCATTTTCAATGTTACCTGCCCCAATGCAAGTTTGGAAAAAAAATCATTCCAAGCCCTGTTCCACTAGGGCATTTTACAAAAAATGTTACTCTTTCTCTTGCCCCATGTTCTTTTACACTCCGTGAATGAAAATGAGAAAACATTGTTCCTACAAGACTTTTAATGTATAGTAAATTAATATTATATCATTACAGTTTTCAGTAAAATGTATTTCGAATTCAAAATTGTTCGCAGTAAAGACTAATTGCACAACAAACGGGATTGTCAAATCTACTGGAACGTTTTTTATTAGAATAGCATGGAAAAGTGAAAAGGATGGAATTCATCAATGTCCGCACAGACTATAGTTATAAAAGAATGGCATCCTTCTGATGGTAAACCTAAAAAAATGATAATGAAATCCTTTACAAATTTTGCTTGGTACTGGGATTTAAGAATTGAAAGCAGGAATTTCACATTTTACAACATTTCTCCACAATATAATGACTACAGAGCTGCATATAAGGTTATATAATACTGTAGTATTTCCATCTCCACTAAGAGTTTTGCAACAATGCTACAATTGGAATGTACATGAAGTGTGGGATATGGAAGGATATACTTCCAAAAAACGTTGTACTTCGTCCTTCTGACTCCACTTTGTTCAGAAGTGTCTTCTTTCTGTACACTAAAGGTTTCCATACTACCTTATTAATTAGTAAATGCTACAAGTGGAATCGCAAAGAAAATGTTGGCTCCACTGTGTCATGTGAAGAGCACCAATATCATGGCTTACTATATTATAAATAGATATTACTAAATATGATCAATCATCATATAGTTCCTCCCCTTTTTTTGCATCAAGATCTGATGACATCCAATACACGCCCCGAATTAACACCATCTGTAAAATACTAGTACTGGTAATCATCTCACAGTCTATAATTATACAATACACGGCCTGCCTTTCTATATACTCTCACAAGCTAACGTACATGGAAACAATCAAGTACATTTTCTCTGCACAATGGCAAGACAAATAGTGATATATAGATATAGATATATATAGATATGTATACAATAATAAATGTATAATATATACATACAAAACATTTTTGCTACAGGGAATGCAATAGTAGAAATTGGAGTATACAAAGTTTGTTTCAAAGTACAAATTGGTGATATCTAAAAGTAAAATGCTGCTACTGTTGGCTTGTATACTGCTTATTGTATATGTAGCTGGACAGACAGACGTATAGTTTTATCACAGATTGAAGAAATTCTCACAGCTCAAGCTTTAAAGGCGATTTCAGGGCAGCAAAACTGGGTTTTCAAAGTCAATTTTCCGGTCACTTTTTAAACATGTTCAATCCTATCCCATTGCATATGGATATCTGTGAGGCAAAAAGGTGATGTCACTGCCTATAGCTATTTATGGGCGGTACCCAAAAATAAAGAGATGCCTCATGTAGCTTCTTTCTGGGCTATTTCAAATGCCTCAAGTATGACATGATGACAAAAACGTGCTATGAAATGGTAGTTAACGTCATTTCTTAATATCCAGAATGTCTTTTGTATTGCAGCCCTGAAATTGCCTTTAATTCAATTGCTGTACTCAGTACTATGACAATGAACTGCATCTGTCAAAAGTCCCGGCACATCCCAGCTACAGTTCAACAGGTTCGCACAGATCATCTACAGTATCAGGACCACTCGGACCATTGCAAATCTGGTTGACCAGGGATTGGGCCAAGTTGACCAGGGATTTGGGCCAAGTTGACCAGGGAGTGGGGGTTTTGAGCCGAGTTGACTGGGCCAAGTTGGTAAATGATCCGAGTCGTCTGACATTCATGATCTACTCATCACGAAATCTACAACGTACACAAGCAACTCACGAGCAATTCTCGTGAGACGACAACAACAACAGCAAGAACAAAACACACTGTTGTCACATTTGCAAGACAAACCAAAACAAGCGCACGGTCTGTTCATACTGTACCAAGAACACCACAATCTTTCCATCTCAATCTTTTTCCAGGACCTCATATCCCTGCTACAACTACTACATTGTACATCTACAGAGGAAAGATTCTACACGCTTTCTTCTAATTAAAAGTGGACATTTCAAAAGATGATACCAAAAGGTTACTTACTGATAAAGCGAGGCATACTGTGTCTACAGGAGTTTCTTATACATGTCTATGATTCATAAATGATACTGCACAGCAAGAGACATCTACCTGTGTACAGTATTTTCTGTCTCGCTTGACCTCTAAGTCTATCTTCACTGAAGCTACATTAGCTGCATTATACACACTCAAGTCAACAACCATCCACATTACCACATAAGTTGCTGCTGGTCTGGTCGTGCTACACACAACCAGTTACCGCACTTTGGAATGTAATGAAGTATGCATTGTAGAAAACATATCATACTCAAAAAATAATAATAATAATAAATAAAGAGGAATATTTCCTGTCATTTTTGGTAGAGCATGTTGTGTTAATGTCTAGGGAACAGACCTCTGTTCTGGCCTGATATTGCAAGCCCCCGTCACACATTCAGGATCTTGCCCCCGAAAACCAGCCAACCACGTTCGGCTGATCTTCGGGAGCAGTCTGACCAGATGTAGACCACGCCTACCTTTCTACACAAATCAAAAGGTATTTGAGTTACATTTGAGTCATATTTGACCCCCAAACACATCCCGTAAACTGCTGACTTACTCCCAAATTTTGTCTGGTGTTCTGCTGACTTACAGCCAAAAATCAGCCATGGCCAAACTTCCTGACCAAAATGTTTTAAACATTTTGAAACATTTGGCTGGCGCTAACCTGGTCAAACACCAGACGACCTTGCTCCTGACCTACTCCTAACCATGGTTGGGGGGAGTTCGGCTGGTGTTCGGGAGGAAGACTTAGTATTCATGATTGTGTGACAGGGGCAGATGGAAGAAATCTTATTCAAGACCTCAGTGTCATCCCTGCACTTATAATAAGACGAGGCCATATACATGTAGACTTGCTTCTTACATTCTCTGTGACCCGGAGGGGGAAAGAAAATAATTTGCTTGCATTGCAATATGACACTGCTAGCTTTCTGCTCACTTCCACGTGGAGTTCGGCTAGTGTTCGGAGAATTAGTGAATGTGTGACGGGCTTTTAAGAGCATCTCTTTCCCCATATCTGATCATGGTAGCATTACAGCTGCCCCCACTCATTTGTGAGGGGCTTTCCTGAGTGCTCTCAAGTTTCCTTCATCTAAACCTTCCTGAAAGAAAATTCTTCTTTGTCTAAGGCCTTAAGAGAAAGTAACACTGCATATTTTGTATATATATATAACTGACTACAGACCATGATGTTGACTTGAGGGCCACAGACTGTTACTAGGCGTAGAAAAAAAAAGTGTTGTGTTTCTATATTTCTGACCAGCCCTATAAAAACCTGCCTTTTTTGCTGCTTGTATTAGGCTACAAAATTTTTGATCTGACATCTTAAGTTCAATATGGAACCCTGTAAATTTCTCAAACGTCATTTCACGAATTTTCAGAAGCAATATTTTTCAGTAAACCAGGTGAAATATCTGTCAGATCATTTAAACAAAATCTATTACATGAAAACTAGAATTTGGAAAAAAAATTGAAATGCCTACCTACCAACCCTACTTTTTGTCAGGACTGAAAACCGTAAACACAACATTAGTTTTTCTAGGCCTTATGACATAATTTCAAGGGAATAATCACTCCTGTAGAGAACTAAAATTGACTGATTATCGATAGTGTCACTGCATGATTTAAATAAGTTGAGCCTTGGAAAAGAAGGTGGGGCGTTAAACAAATAACAATTATGCCCTGAGGTAAATATATGACTGTAGATGCACTCCAACAGGTGGTCATGTACATTAGAACTAACACATCTTACAGTTTGGTAACTGCTCTTCATGGAATACAAAAAGTACCAGAACTCAATATTTAAAACTAAATTGTATAAGAGGCACTTTGAATTGCCTTATATCCCACTACTTATTCCAACCAGGACCTTATACAATGACACAAAACAATGGTAATGATATCCAAGGTACCAGTGAAAAAGGATACAAACATTGATTAGATGTAGTATGTTCATTTTAGATATAGACATTGATGGGTTAGCTTTAAAATTGCGCTCTTTAAATGTATAAATGCTGTTTGATTGCAAAATACTGATGTTTAAGAAAATAACGTCAAATGTGTCAGTAGGCAAAGGTTTGAAAAAATATTTGAATGAAAAGACTAGACTTGTACCCATGGTTACAAACTTCCGATGGTTTGGAATGTTATTGCAATTTATAGGAAGTGTCAATAAGTAAAATATGACCATGCTTTTTTTAATTTTTCTTTAGTTAGGTGCCTGGAAACTGCATTTGCAAATGTCAGTTGCATTGACCAGAATTATTTTTGAATGCAAATTTACTGTAAACCAGGCATATCCAGTTCACAAGGAATTTCAAGATTAGAAAATGTTTTGGTGTCAAATATGACCATTTTAACACCTCTTCCATCTTCCATGTACTTGTAGATTATGAATTAGTACAACTGGAAATGACCTAATAGTATTGACGTTGTACTGATGCTATACATACCTTGTACCTGTGTTTCCACATACTACAAATGACCAAGTCCTGCTATACAAGTAATACAACACGCGTACATGTACCTTTAGTCAGTATGGTATGAAAAAAATTTCCCCATCAATGTTGTATTGGCTCTTGTTCGTCGTCTGCGGAACTGTCCGTGTCCATTTTGACGTCCTCAGAACGACAACTGTCGTCTGAATTTTTCCTGCAGGAGGTAGCACCAATAGGCAGAGTGGAATTCAGCTGCTCATGACTAATAGTGGATGAATACGCTATGTGAGCCTTTGGAATGTTTCCCTCGAAGCCTGCCTCGGATATATCCGTCCATCTGCTGAGTTTTCCCTGGACGCACCCCGGGTGGGTGCTCCCACCGTTACAGGAGGGGGGGAAGGGGGCGTTTTGGAGCCAGGTGGCGATCCGGTCGTGGGTACCGTTGTTTCGGGAGGTTGCACAGCTGCCGTGGTGGAGCTTGTCGTCTGCTTTGGGATCCAGTTTTGCTGTGACGTCGTCAGGCTTGGAGCATTCTTGTGAGGAGACTGTCCTGGCCGTGGGAGAAGCACTATGCCCTGTGCACACAACACAAGCGTGTGTTAGCTATTAAAAGCTCATCTGTCTTGCAAGCTTGGTGCATTTCATAATGAAGTTAGTACATTGTAATTTTCAGTCGCACATACGTCGACCTTCTTCGTGAGTGAAGGTCAGGTGCTCAGAGAAATTGAATCACTTCACTTCTGAAAAAGGTTGACATGTGCCAATGAAAATTTGAGTATCCATAACAACAGAAGTTCATCATTACCTGAGTGTAAGTCTGTAGTGCGGCTGCTCCCATTGTAGCACACGGAGCCGACAGTTCCGTTGACCCTGGCACATCCCCCGTCCTTCAGGACCTCCACAGGAGGGCTGCCCACGTCCACCAGCCGGGCAGATAGAGTGGGGCCGCTAGAATTCACTATTGCCGAGAGGACGGGCCCGTTCAGAGACTTCAACTTGGAGTGGAAGACGTCGCTTCGGTCCAGCTGTATCGACGTCAGGATGTCCTCGGTGGACGGGGCGTCGTGGAGCGAGATTATCGTCATGGCGGCGCGGTACGTGTCCAGCGGAGACCGGACAAAGGGAATGTGGTTGCACAGTTTGGTGCCATCCCATTGGCCCGAGTGGCTGGCGGAGTGGCCTGGAATGTTGTTGGAGGGTCCCGGCTCCTCGAAGCGGATGTCCCCGCTACCGGACACCTCGGCGAAGGTCGTCGGGTCGTCGTCGCTCTGACTGTTGGTCCTGTGGCTGGAACTGGTCTCCGACTCCACCCCAGGGGAGGTCGGCAGGGGGTCGTTACCGGGCGGGGGGGCCTGACGGTAACCGGGCGGGTCCATGGCGGCCTGTCCCGACATCTCCACGTCTTCAGGCTGGCTCTCTGCGAAGGCCACAGCAGCGGCTGCAGCTTCTGTAAACAACAACAACAACAACACCGTAAACTTGACTGGCCAGAACAGACTGACAATGTTTAAGGGGTACCTAAACATACATAGGGGTACATGTACCTATCCCGTGGGTTGATTTCTTCCTTACCTGCCTCGGCCAGTTCGGTGGCCAGCGCTCCGTTCCACCTCTGCTTGTTGACCCGGAGATGGTTGATCATGTGCCGGGCCAGGCGGGTGGGGCTGAACCTCTCCCACTGGACAAACAGGGGCTCCACTATGAACTGGATGAAACCTGAAACAACCAACATGCTTTTGTTTGTTTGTTTGCTTGTTTGTTTGTTTGTTTGTTTGAACCATTATTGAACCTCCAGGCTGTCTTTCATTGAGGTCATGACAGAAGAGGTAAAGGTATACATCTATAACAGAGATACAGTAAAGTTTATTATTTCATAATCCAAATAGGAGGAATCAAAGGAAACTTGATTGCCTGTCTAAAAGCGGCCTTTCATCATTGACAGACTGCTGGGCCAATTAAGCAACTTCATAACTAAGGAAGCAATTACTGTAGGCTTTTTGAAGTTTTAACATGAAAGTATGCTTCACCTGTCTGGATCCTGGAGATGGTGTCCCTGTACCTGTCACAGGAGTTGGCTATATCAACCTTCAGTTTCCTCTCCTGGTCACCTACAGATGGGGCAATATGTCATCATGTCAGTGTGGAAAATACGTGTGACTTGTGTTGAATCAAAAGTTTTAACTTTAAACGTGTGACCTAATTTTTTCAGAACTGAAACAGGAAACACAACAGGGTCAGTAGGTGAGAGATTACCTTTTTTTGTCTTTTTTTCTTTTAATTAAACTTTGGCAATCTCTAAAGTGATTCAGCTTATACAAATAAAATAAAACTTGATACATTTTTTTCCTAGGCCTAACATGTGCTGTGTTGAGAAGTGGCCTGACCTTGGTTGTGGAACTCGTCTGTAACCCTCTCGCTCCACCTCCGGCTCACCTTCCACGTACGGCACGGGTTGCTCACGTCGGCACATTTCAGCGCAATCTACGGGACATACATGTACATCGCATACCGTTACATCATACATCATAGCGAGAGGCTATTTATAATGCTCACCCACCACCAGCTCTTTTTCTGCCATTTCTAGGTACTAGGTTTAGTACAGAGGTTGGTTTATAAGATGTTGTAACTTACATTGTACGTTGTTAGGTGTTCCTTACAGGAAAGTCTCTGTTAAATAAACACTTCCCTTTTTCCACCTGCATTTGTTTCTCTGTTGTCTGAGGGTTTTTTTTAATGGTACAAAATTTAATGTTATTGGTGGTTTGATGATGACATTGTTACCTGTAAGGTGAAGTGTCTGCTAGCTGGTAGATGGAGGGTCAGGTCTCCCTTGTCCAAGTATTGCTAAAACACAGAACATCACAAACATTAATAACTTCAAAATGAACTTCATGTTCACCCTGTTTTCATTTTCTTTTAGAAAAATGAAATCTTGAGCTAAGTATTAGTATTCTTTTTATAAATTATACATATACACCACTGTAACACTGTTCTAGCCAGAATCCATCTTTCCATCATTTGACAGAACTTTGCTGCTCATGATGGACAAAAATTTTGCCCAATCCATCAACTTTGACAAACAAAAATCGAGTCAACATATGGTGATGTCATTAAACAAAGCTTTTAAGTCTACCAGCAAAATTTGCCCAAAATGTAACCAGGTCTGGATTTCAAAATTTTCCAGACTGAAAGAAAATTCCCCTGAACCACCCTAATATTGCCACACCTTTCGCTCTCGACATATTTGTTTCATCAACAAAATTGAGATGACGGGGGAAAAGGCTAGCTAGAACACTGATATACAATACAACAAGCTTCTGTTGGGCATTTCTTTTCTAACATGAGGAATATAACATTTCAGTGGGTAGCACTTGACAAAAGAACAGAACTATAGACATTGAGACTCACCTTAAATGACGTTACAAACTCGTTTTGTCGACTGATGTCTGTTGCTAAGATCAGCGATTGGATTTGGCACTCAAAGTCTTGCCTGAAAGAAAAAACACAAACATGTTCATTCACAAGACTGAGGATCACAAATGTTAAGAAAGATTCTTAATATGTTTACCTTCGCATTTTTGCTCTCTTTTTCTTCTTCCTCTTCTTCTCCAAACAAATAAGATCAATGGCCTGAACCAGACGTCTGTCACCATGGTAACTGGTGTTGGGTTACATCATGTTGCAATTTTATAGCAGGAGGGATTTAGACTCCTGTCACTATATATTTGAGTTGAATGTGTTTGAATAAGAATTAACAGAGCAGACCATATGCAAAGGTAAACATTGTGCATTCGCTTTGCAAAATTAATGTTACATGTACTTCAAAGTTCTAGTCAGACTCTAACAATTTTGGAATACACAACAAACCAAGAACAACAGCAACAACAAAAGGAAAACAACACAAAAAGTCATTGGCTGAGAAAAAAATAAGAAGTTTTTGGCTAGGACCATGTTTGTGGTTCTGACCTTTCTTGTAGAGATAAGTGATTTAGCAGCCCAGTAGTCCGGAGCAGTGCCACACAGCCTCTCCAGTGGTGGTGTTCCAGGACAGAGTGGTTCTGGGAAGGGAAGCATATCTCACTTAATATGATTCATATATTCGAACTGCGCCTGCGCGCAGCCCAGATTTTTCGTAATTTTCGTTGGATGTTTGGTCAACATTGCATCAGAATTTCGCCTGTAAAAGATAATTATCTTGTCCGACATAACATTATTTTTTTTTAAACTACAGACAGAGTGCTAACTTTATACGACCTTAAATGAGACGTTCTGCCTAAGTGCTATGCATAATATATTACAGACTTTACACAGGTGCAGTAAACTACCCACCTACCAAGTTTCATTACAATCCATCCATAGCTTCTTGAGTCATCCGATCATCGTGCAAAACCACACTCACACACATCATACAAACGCTACCAAAAACATAACCTTCTTGGCAAAGGAAAAGAAAGTCTTGGCAAACTTTTCTGATGGAACCTACGTTGTAGAGTGTTGCCAGGTAGTTGCCAGTCTTTCTCAGAAACTCCTGGTTGACTCCAGGGTGGTCCAGGTCGTGAGTGATGGCCGCTACCACAGCTGACAGGACTTCCAACGGCGTCAGCCTGGCTCCGAGCTGCGCCAACAACAATTGGGAACCACGTGATTACGCAATTACGGGTCACTGTATCTAAACCTTCATTTCAACATGTTTGGGACTTACCATATGACTCTTCAACTGAGATCACAGTATGTAATTCCTTCATTTCAACATGTTTGAGATTTAGGCCACAACAATTCAATTTGTTGGTCCACGGATTTGCCAACGTCATTTTTTTCTGATTTGCAAAAAAAAAAAAACTTTCAGGCTTAATAAACTCCTAAATGTTTATATTTTGGCCCCAACAGTTGAAGGAGGTCCCTCCTCTTCAGAGTTGTTACAGTTTTTCTATCTATCGATGCAATGGTTTGATTAAAAGTTTAAAATTCATTGCTGTAATTTACATACAATTACAATCCAACCTGGTATGTTGATTTCATGGCTCCTAACATATCATTAAGTTATCATAGGATGCTTAGGCCTGTTTTTATTTTCTAATTTTTTTTTTGCCCTGTCGCTTCAGATTTTTTCTGAATTTACGTCCTGAAAACAGAACAAAAAGACTCTTCTTTTAACACAACCAAGATTGGTATTTTATTCAGCCCACGTTTCAGTGACCTTCAGAATCTGTCACCTTCCTCAGAGCAATTCTGACTGGTTCACATTGCAGTACAGGTGTCACTGCAGATATACATGTAGATGCATTGCAGAAGAGTCTTTTTTTCAGTGGCTTTATGAAACTATTCACAGATCCTTCAGAACAATTTATTTTGTGAACAGATTCTCCTGACAACCTGACAAGTCTTTATTGAACATCTGTATCTTCAGTGTCTTCCACTAAATTAGTTTTGCACATAACGGTGCAACGCTTGATCATGCACGTAATTGCTTCTTGAGGATTGTTTTCTAACCGAATTTATAAAGCGTAACAAACTGCAAATTAAGGGAACGTGTGGCTATAAAACATACAAATTTCAGCCATATCTTACAGCATATCTTTAAAGGCATAATTCAAATTCTGCACATTCAGGGCAACAAACCTGAATTTTTAAAGTAAATTTTCTGGTCATTCTTTTTAATGTTATGATATCTGTGAGGCAAAAATGTGATGTCGCTGACAGAAAATGGTTGTTTGTTTTATATCATAGGCTGGTTCTAGCTATTTATGGGCCGTACTTAAAAAATAAAGACATGTCTCACGTAGCATGTTTTGGGACTAGAAAACGCTTCAAGTATCAAATGAGCTAAGAAATGACAGTAAATGTCAACATCAGGCAGATATCCTAAATTTAAATTAAATCCAGAATATTTTTTGCTTTGCCAACCTGATTTTGGACGCCTTTCAGATTCCAAAGTAGTCACCATGTAGCTATAATGAAATCCTAAAACTAAAAAGATAAGCACTTAGTAGAATATTCATCAATCAGCAGTGACTGACTGAGCAAGCATGTCCTCCAAATTTTGGATGTCAACTGTACGTTCTGATCACAGAGTGATCTAGTCTCGCAAGAACACGAGACTCAATCAAGACTTGTGAAGATCTTCTAGTTTCCCCTGCCTCCTTACGGAGCAAGGGAAAGTAGGACTTGGGCAGATCCCGACCTCTAAAATTTGAAGGTACATGTACATGTATGACTGTGCTTGCTACCTTTCAAAACAGTCACTGATTGATGAACATTCTACTAACTGTTATCTACTATACATGATTGATGAAACTCTTCAACAATAAAAAGGCTTGTTTCCACCTACTTTTCGTTCCCTAAGGAAGCAGTGCATAGCCTGTGTGACGTCTGCTGCGTGCAATGCATTGTGGTAAGGGTTGTTGTTGTAGTTCTCCTCCACGAGGGCTGGGGGGACAGGTTGGGCACAGAAATTAGCAGAAAACTTGCAACTTAAACATGTATATAGAACACAACACAGTGTATTCCGCATCACCGGAGGTAACAGCCAGACTGCGGGTTGGATTGCCTGACAGCCAACGGCCGGAGGGAATATTCCACATCACCCTCTGTCCAAGCCCTCCCATGGGTTGGGATCTCCCTCTGGCCTTTGAGCGATCTGACCCACGGTCTGTCTAGTACTTTGGGTGATACAGAATACAATGTACATCATATAATACATCATATGCAAGCATGTCCTTCTGTCATCCTTCAATGGTTGAACTTGAAGACTACAAAATTGTACTTATATTACGTGCTGGTAATTAACTACTGTATGTAGTATGTTCTCCTTTTCACTGACACTGAAAATTTTGTAATACAGCTACCTTCAAGCAGTGCCATCAAGATAGTGTTAGTTTCTCCCAACTGATACAAAACTGTAATGTCACACTGTTGAGGTCTACATGTGCGATACTTACAGAGGAACTGGGTGAGTTTGACAATGTCGAGGTTGAAGGTTTGGATGAGGTTGTGGTGCTGGAAAAGGTGGATGGACAGGTGGAAGAGTGACCTCCCTGAAACATGCAACATACAAACATGTTAAACTCCATCCAGGCCACTTAGGCGAGGTTGATTTCAGTATATGGATGACATCCTCTGGGGACTCCCAAAACTCATGCGAGCGTGCAAATAAAAAGTTTGTATTGAAAACTGATTTAGGATTTAGTGACTACTCGTCATCTACATTAATTTTGTCTAACCAAATTAAATTTGAGTTAAATTTGAGTCAAATCTCACTGCCAACCACGCAACCAGCCAACCATGGCCAAACCTCCCGTATATAGATTCTGAAACATTTGGCTGGTTTGCAATTGAACAGTATCCGAACGCCAGCCGACCTTGCTCCTGACCTACTCCTAACCATGGTTTGGCTAGTGTTACACAGAGGCCATATTCTGCTGTGTGCCTTAGCATAACAGAGTTCGAAATACAAAGGTGCAATGTGCAAATTGCACGTAATTTTCAAGATTTGCACCTAAAAATATTTTGAATGTGCAATTTTGCACCTGGACAATACCGATATATCATGTTTGCACTGCGTATCTCCAAAGTTTCTTGCTGTGTCGGCATCGCGCTGGGCGCATGGCAGCCATATTGTTTTCTTTACTGAACATCCTGGGAACAAGCTGCTCTCGTCCCCAGGTGAAGACGCGAAGGCATTACGTAATGATTTACCTAATATGGCAAGACGCGAAGGCCTACGTAGCTGATTTACCAAATATGGTGAGACCCGCGAAACTTGTTGCCCGATGTGGTACGAAGTCCTTCGGCAGAGTAATTTCGGCTTTTTCGTCCAATTTTCGGTAAAATTCGGTGAAAAACAGAGTTTTCAGATTTCCCAGCATTCAGTGCTACCCAGGAAATTTGTAAAGCATGAAGAAGGGCCCATGAAGAAGGGGTCGATTTTCAAGTTCTTTTCACGGGCCCAGCCGGCATCAGAGGCTGGTGCAGCCGGTGGCGGTGGACCAGAGGCTGGTGCAGCCGGGGGCGGTGGATCGGGAGATGCCACCGGGTCCACCGTCTCCGAGGATCCCGCGGCCGATGTTGACGACGCGCCCCCAGAGGAGGGGGAGGGGAGCGCCAAGAAGCAAAAATTAACCGGACATTAATTTTTTACTAAGCAGTATTTTTTTACCTTATATCGTGCACGATATTTAAGGTAAACAAATATGCAAAATAAATGAAATTTATTGCTCGCATACTGTTGGTAATTTTTTTTATGACGAGTGAGAGGGCCGGGGGTCACTAGCGGCGTCCTTTGAAGCTAATGCCGACAAATTTTTTTTTGTTGTCTTTTTTTTTATAAACACAGATGATACTTGCATTGTTCATGTTTTGTTTGGTCCCTTCTTTTTAATGTATACTAAAACTTCTATATGCAGTGGCAGGCTAAGAAGGTTGATACACAGTAAAACAGTTCCAAACCTAAAGATGCAAGGCTAAATATAATTTTGCACATAAATTTTTCAAATTGCACCTAAAAATTTTGCCAATGTGCAATTTTGCACGTACCTGAAAAAAAGTATTTCGAACCCTGGCATAGACACCAAAATGATAGGTCTGAATCACGTTGGCCAGGGAAATTAATTTTTCTAAAAAGGTGGCGTGGCTCATAACTCTAGATGGCGTCTCATCAAAATTTGCATATATTATTATCTTGCACTAAGGTACATTATGTACATGTACTTACACAAAAAAATCAATGACCATAGGATACCCTAAGACCACCTTAAATGTATGAATGCTTTCTCCACTTACCATTGGTGAGTTTATCCAGCATGAAGATGTCAAAATCCCAGTCGGTTACAGTTGTCAGCAGATGCTGTAGTGAGAAATTTGCATACATTAATAAAAGTTAATATAGAACAGGGGTATTTTCTTTTCCTTAGTTAAGTTTTAACATCTTTGGGGGAGAGTACCAGTCAGACCCCTCACTGTGGTTATGTCTATATTCAGACTCAATGAGCAGCTTGCGCCATGGAAATAATGTACCTGTACCTGACCCCTACGCTGTAAAATAATTCTGGTGAGAACCCTGTGTATATTTACAGCAATCATGAATGTCATTGAATAAACCTTGTGCTTAGAGGGGAGCAAGCTAGACTTGCTAGTTCATGTATATGTGTCACACATAAACTTGTCCTTCTGTACCTGACCCCTTTGCTGTAACAAAAATATTCTGGTTGAAACTCTGTTGTATACAGCAATACTTGCATGAGTGTCATTGAAGAAACCTTGTGCAGGGGAGCAAGCTGACTTGCTAGTTGGATGTATATGTGTCACGTATGGCTAATGGCCCATGGAACTGGGCCAAGGTTGCATTAGGTGGAGTCGTGGAGACAAATCAAAGGAAACCTTGAAGCCATCCAGTCAGTATGCACGATCGATGACACTGTGGGGCAAGGCCAAGTTTTCCTATCACTAAGGCCACACCAATTTCATTTGTTGGTTCTCAGATTTTTCCAGAAAAAATTGAAGCAACAGGGTGAAAAAAAAGATAAGTCAAAGGAAACCTTGGGGCGATCCAGTCTAATACAGTCTATGCACGATTGATGACACTGTGGGGCAAGGCCAAGTTTTCTTAGTTCACTAAGGCCACACCAATTTCATTTGTTGGTTCTCAGAAAAACAACAAATTTAATTGGTGTGGCCTAACAGTGCTAAAATATACAAGTTTCCGGCATACATGCCCCCTGTCTGGTATAACATGTAAACGTGCACAGGGACTCTCTCAGGGGAGAACATTGGCCATGAGATAGTTTTTCTCCCAACACAGACAGGACTGGTTTAGTCTACAAGTTACAACTGTACGTCGGCAGAAGTCAAGTGACCATTGACTTTTGTCTCATGTCAGTTTCAGAAAATGCGCATGCAAAAATTATCACGTTTTTTTGCAAATGCACGTGAGAGAGTTGAAACCCAAGACAAACTGGTCGGTTTGAGAATCCATGTCACCACTGTTTGAAAAATTTATGGCATTATGACCCATCGACTGGTCGCCATGGGAAGGGATCTGGCCTTTGGCGGACCCAACTCGTGGGGCCGCGGTCGCGTTGGCCAGGTGGCCGCTCGCTTAATGCTTGCAGCAATGGGGAAAATTTTCAGGACATGTCCTCAATTTCAGTATACTACAGTCAGTGACGATAGTGGTGATTGTGTTAATTATTACAAAAAGGGACAACGGCTTGTTATTCCAATTAAATTAAAATTTTGATTACGACTGTTTTGATTCGAATACTAACTCTAAAAGGTGTAGCTACTCTGTACCCAGTATTGTCTAATTATATCTGTTGGGTCACCAATAGCCTCCTGTGCAGGCCTGTGAGAGGGTGGGTGTTTTGAAAATGGGTTTTGTAGAATAGTTAAAACGTTCTTTTGCTGATTGGTTTTCCGATCAATGGCGGGCAAAAGAACACGTCAACAATTCTGCGAAATCTTCCAGTATTAAAATACCCGCTCGCTCGGAGGCCTGAACCGGAGGCTAGGTCACCTATGCAGGAGAGCTCTGAGCTGGTACAGCTCATTTACATATCCAGTCACATTTTCTCACAGACTGGTGGATGCATCAAGAACTTGTCTGTCAAAACATGTAAGGATTTCCACACACACACTCAACAGGTTAGTTTTTTTACAAACATCCACATCTCTGTCTTCCTCTGTTGCTGGTCTTCCTGAATCTTAGTTTTGTCTATTTTCTTTTGCCCGTTTACATGTAAATATCCTAAGATTCCGACAAGCAAAATACCCCTAGAAATACATTTGTAACATGTACATGTACGTCATACTTTCTTAAGTATACAATTTGCATTAACATTAAAGGTCCAGAACAAGCTGCTAGGGGGACAAAACCCACACCACTTATTCCTGACAGGAAAAGCTATCTGTCAACCAAAAATCCAAGACCTTAGCATGTTCATATCAAAAGAAAAAAAATGGAAGTTCTGTTGCAGTACCAAGGTCAGCCACCAGGAGGCCTATATTTTACCTTGGCCTTTGTCTTCCTACACCCTACCAACATACCAAATATCACCACAATCCATGAAGGCGTTCTGAAGTTATGCTGACTACAATGTATGTTTAGGGAAATGCTTATTTGCTTTGTTGTAGCCCTAAAGTCAACAGAGTGCTGCTCAACTGCATTGTTAGTATAGTGCTTGCTTAAGGATAAGGGTTAGTCTAGTCCAGTTCATCCAGGATGTTGTTTTGCTGATTATAGAAACAGTGAATTGGTTATTATGAAAACATTGTGCCAGGCACACATTTCTGACACCCATAAAATAGCATTTCAGAAGGTCAAGATTTCAAACTTTTAGGAAGGGACCCCTCCCTGGATTCTTGGGCCTCCCCCCCTTGAATTTTCTAGCACTTCTGGTACAACACCTTGAACCTCCAGCTCTTGACATGAACAAAATTGAGATGCTGGAAAAAAATACTAGACTGTCCATAGAACATTGCGGGAATGGAAGATCCCACTGTATAGTGGTGTGAGGTTGCGAAAACTCACCTGTTCAAACATGGATTAACAATACGAGGAACAAAAAAAGGTCAAACTACATTGTATGTGCGCTCCCTGGGAAAATGTTGAAATCTTGATCCTCTGAAATGCCGTGTCCTGCATTTTTTGGACAAATTTTTCTAAGCTTTGATACGTCGGTGAAGGTTATTAGACATCCAGGTAATGAGATTAGCCAAAAAAACAGTTACTCAAGTCAAGCAAATCTTCAGTGTCACCGACGAAAGGTAGTGGATGCTACTCAAAACGTCTGACCGTTTTTAAAATCACATCCAGTTGTTTGAGTAACTGTTTCTTTGGCATAGACTAAGCTTAGTTTAATGAAATCTCTTTTCATACACCAATTTTTGTCTGTCAAAGTCTCTCAGCTTCGTCAAAGTAAAGTAAAGTAAAAAAGAAACGTACCCTTGCTTGCCCTGAGTATGCCTCGTCTAGGAGAGAGACCGTCTGCAGGGAGAGGTTGAGCCACCTTCTCCTGCGTTTCCACCGGTGTGTGTAAGACCTGAGGTTGCTGCGGGGGGAGTCATCACATTCTGGCGGGGGAACACAACAGGCAACACGTTATATAATGTCATACAAGTACATTTTTGTGTAAACTCAGTACATGGACCAGTGCAGGCTAGGTGCAGGAAGTACCTGCACAGCTCCAATTTTACCTGCACTGCCATTATTTCCAGTATTTCCAGCCAATATCAGTACTTTTCCCAGGGCTTTTGCCCCAAATTTTTTTGTGCACCCAATTTTTAGGTTGGGTGCACCAGTGCACCTACCGGTATTACCCAAAATGAATTTCGAGCCCGGATGATATGTACATTATTTTGCAGCAAGTGAGTGTGACCCAGTTATCTCAACTCTCCAGCACAAAAAAAGGTTGACAACTTCTCCAATGAATAAGAAACCTTCAGATTCAGAATACAAGTATTGTGCATATTATAACAATGGAGGAGGTATATTTGAGTTACCTTCAAAGGTTTTGTAGTCTATGTCAGGAAAAGAGCTCCTCCGTCGTTCTCTGCCGAGGTCAGGCTTGCTGCGTGTTCGCACATCACCTGTACAGGAAAACAACATTAACAGTTGTACCAGCTTCATTTCATACTGCATGTCAGCTACGTACTGTAGTGCTGCCTTAACCTACACGTTACAAACATGTTGGCAGAACGTACTGAACCTGCACAAAACCCTGATTTTTCATGGCTAGCTCCAAATGCTTCAAATTCAATAGGAGCTATGAATTTTGAACTTTTAATCAAACCACCACATTATGAAAAACTTAAACTTTTCTCCAACTCAAAATTTGACTCACCAGAAATTTTCGACCGAATCACTCAGTCTTCCTCAGCTATCTGACCCAAATGCTGACGTCACACGTGGGAAAAATCATGTGTCCACGGCATTTGGGTCAGATAGCTGAGGAAGACTGAGTGATTCGGTCGAAAATTTCTGGTGAGTCAAATTTTGAGTTGGAGAAAAGTTTAAGTTTTTCATAATGTAATTTACCAACTCAGATGAACTTTCATGCAAACCACCACATTGTTAGGTTAAAAACTATAACAACTAGGAAGACTAGGATTTTCCTCAACTGTTGGGACTAGTAACATATGAGCATTTTGGAGTTGATTTAGAACATGAAATTATACAATTGATCAAATTGGTGTGGGCTCTACATTTGTATAAGAAGAGACAGCCTTACCTAACATCCGTATGTAGAGGGCATTCTTGTCAGTCCTGTCAAAAGAGATTCCTCCACGCCTCTGTAATATCAAGAAAACACAGAATTACCACAAATTATCAACAATCCACATACAGCAGGGGGTTTTCTAAACAGGGGAATAAGTCCGCTCCTGTCCCTCATGTAACCAGTCAGCTCCCTCATATCAATTCTCACATTGAACCCTAAGTGGCTACTTACACACCATTAGTCTTTCTCAAAATGATAGTTTCCAGTAAAGATGTTAAAACAATACAGCAATGAATTTTAGCACTACAAACTGTGTTACTCTAAAATGATAAAAAAAATACCCCCTCGGCCACTTCGCTTCCTTGCCATGCTTGCAATCCGCTCCCTCGTGCTAAATTTTTCTAGAAAAACCGAAATACACCTACATTTTGTACATGTATAATATATATATAAACGTTAACCCAGTACATGGACCAGTGCAGGTTACTTCTGGTGCAGGTGGACATCAGAAATACTTGCACAGCTCCAATTTTACCTGCATATGCACCTGTACCCAGTATTTCAAACCCTGTGATGTGGTGTGTTCAACACCCTCCGACCTTTACGTTATGTCACAACCGGCATAATGTCAACGACCACAAGTAACCTTTCAATAGTCTGCAACACTCTGGTGACAATAACAAGATGTGACCATCATGTATCGTGAACAAAATATAACACAACGTGGTAAACTCTTGAGCTGGGCTGCCTTTTTTTCCCATATCAAAGAGGATAGCCAAGTAGTCAGAGACTTTAAGATTCCGAATCAAAAGACAAGGCCATTTAATATACATGTAATTCCAGGAATTGTACATTGTAAATCCAAGGATCGCCCCCCTACATTGTACATGTAGCTGCAGGGAAAATACCTGAGCCGCCCACAGTGAGTGTACGTCATCAGTGGCTATTGTTCCCACAACCCAACCCCTCACATTATCAGTCAGTGACATTAGGCCTGGCAAAATTAATGTTGCGTTTCCTATCATGGCCCTGAAAAAAATTGGGTGGATAGGTAGGGATTCGCTTCTCTTTTTTTTCGTTCACATTTTAGTAATGTTTACCTTTGCATGTGGTCTGGTTTGTAATTCTTACTCAAACACATTCCTAATCATTATATATGGTGACAAGAGTCTAAATCCCTCCTGCTATAAAATTGCAACATGATATAACCCAACACCAGTTACCATGGTGACAGATGTCTGGTTCAGATCTTTGACCTCATTTGTCAGAAGAAGAAGAAACAGATTAAAAACAGTATGTTTTCCTTCGGTAAACATAAATATTGATAATACAAAATAAAACATAGGTCTGATTATAAACCCACATTGCAGCCAGCTTATTATAGTTAATTTAACAATGAAATTCAATAGTACTTTTTTTCACTATCACACTTGCTTCCGCAGAATTCAAGAAACTTCTAACATTTTGCGAGTCACCTTGGTTATACCAGAGACGGCACGACTCCTTAGAAGCGGCTACATGTATTAACAGTAATCATATTAATCACTTATACCAAATCACGGCTAGCTTCACGGGTGTATTATGCACAACATTACCCACATCAGAATCAGCAACCATACAACAAAGAATTAAGCTTTGAAGTTATCAACAGGCAGCCTAATTCTATGTAATTCCACGCAAAAGGGTGCTGCAATTAGTGTAATGGGCAACCCAGATGTTAATAGGGTCTTTCTAGCACCTTTTTGCTCGAGATTTAGCTCTGGAGTACAGAGCCAGGGTGTACAATCATGTAGAGTAACAATTGGGTACATAGTTTCCATAAAATCAGTGCATTTGCCAGAATATACAACTTCTGTCCACTACGAGCAAATTTCATTCATTACTATTTTTTCATATCTAAATCTAATTTTTCTTACATATTTAGGCTGACTGAATGACATTTTGTACATAATTATATAGCAGGGGATCAAAAGGTTTGATCCGAGACCCTTGCAATTTATCTATCTATTATTTGCAAGTATTTATTGAAGACATTTGTGGAAGGATTGATTTAACACCTCAGGTGACCTCTAAGACTCTTCAAGAAATATGTCAAACCTGAGACCAGACTGTAAGATTTGAACCACTCACACCGGGAAGGATCCCTGTTCTTTTCAATAAGTGTGGTCAGGTGGGTTCTTTAACATACTTACTTAGGTACAAAATGTATGGCTCTTCTTAAACATGGGATCTCCAATACGATAGGACGTCCCTACCTGAAACTAGATACTCATTTACACCTGAGTCAAGTGAGGAAATAGGTGTTTTAAGTGCACGTGCCTTTCCCAAGGACACAGCCAATGGGGCTTGCCAGGGATTCGAACCCAGAACCTTCGGATTCTAACTTCTAAGTCAACAACTCTAGCTACAAAATGTATTACCACAAGGCCACCTTGCCAGTGGCCCACCTTGCAAAACTAGTATCAAAAAGTAAGCAGGAAGTAAAACGTACACGAAATAATATCAGCAAACTTGTCCTACCTCTTGTACAAAATCTGACTCTCTGACGGCCCCATCGGCAAACTGAACCATTTCAGAAGGATTCTCAGGCATGGTAAATGTGGGACAACCGCACAGAATCATGCTTCCTTACCGACTGGGAGGAGAGAAGAAAGTGGCTTTCTGGGACCAGTTACAAGACAACTGTGGAAGAAACCTTGACCCCCGCGACCCCTCGGTTGCTTGATGACACCTCCAAGTAATGGAGCAGGCCGATGCGCGTCACGTACACACTTGTAGCACGTACCACCCTGCTACAATGTTTTCAATGGTTCCTTCCAATCACAGCAAACCCCACTACCGGCTCTGCAACAAAAACATCTGCCAGGGGTAAAGGTTCAAATTCAAGGAAACCCGTTCCGTAAGCAGACCCGTGATAAGACTATAGGGTATCCAGCGTTAATTGGTCTTCTGCCATGCGATATATCCTTGTGGGACTGGTGTCCCTATCAGCGAGACTGGTCCGTGAACTAGTTAATAGACATTGATACTGCTTCTGGTACAAATCGTAGTAGTTTGAGGGACAAATTGCCAGACAAAAACATGGGATTAGCCACATGTGCATACGTGACCCGAAGATGTTCTACTTCCAGAGGCATTACAATGCTGTTCTGTTCGGAGAACACGATTGGATTTTCCGTGCAAAAAAATATCCTCAACTCCCATGGTTTTGGGCAGATATGGCTAAACCTGATGTCATACCATTTTCATACAATCACTACTCAACTACAACAATGTCTACAAGATATTTATATACAAACTTGACATTGTGCTACTTGAAACAATTCCACACTTTCCTATTCCTATCTACAGTACTTGAACAACGAATATAACTAATTATAAGCAAGAAAATAATCTTTCAAACATACATGTTAAGAGCCTTCGGGCATACACAGGGCAATCACAAAACTCAGGATTGACTGTCACACTACATTTACAAATATAGAATTTCGAAACCAGAAGATTTTTTAAAAATCATATTGACTTAAGGTTTTTTCCATTTTGATCCTATACGGAATATCAAAGAATATCAACATCATAATACACGACGTACTTTGTATTATAAAATATTGTGGTACAAGGCTACATTTGTACATGTAAGTTGATGTCAGTCCCAAAACTGGTTGTTGTATGCACTTAATCTGATGACATTGTCACTTCCTTATGAATGGGTATCTATCATTCAATGTATGGCAGAAGTTAGACCCAATAACATACAAAATCAAATCAGATATTATGTCAAATCCATTTTGTTTCCTAATTTGAGTAATAAAATGATTTAATACTTTGTTGGGAAAATGAATCTGGCCTGAGCCGGATTTGTCCTCAAATCAGCTTTGCATTGATTTCAGAACCCCAGTACTAGGTATGTGGCTTGGGCCATTACCTCCATGAAAAATGGAGATATTATACAATGTTTTCACTACAGTACTTGCTGTTTTCAAAGGTGTTTTTTTTTTCATTACATGACCTCCTTGACAGCTGGTGTTTTCCCTAAATAAAGAAAGGATTGCAAAAGAGCATCAGCGAGCGGTTGTCTGGGCAAATGGAATCCTTTTTTTCCATGACACACTTTCAATCAACCCCTCCCAAACAGTCGTAACTTGTACACATCATAGTTTCATGGAGGTCTGAGATCTCTGAATTCTTGTTCGATATCGGGTAGTACACTGCCCTAAATATTATAAAATCTGCCGTCACTTATTATCTAGGAGTAAAAAAATGCATCAGCTTGAAGTGTCCCTCAGTTGCCATCAAACCACAGCCAGGCCCAGAGCCCCCGGCCATACTTCACACATCATTTCTGCAACAATTTGATAGAATCATTCAACTCGAGTGCCTCAAAAGGCTCAGTCCATGAATAACGTATTCATCATCAGGGCTGGAAATACTTTTCTCTGTATAGTATTAGGCCACACCAAGTAAATTTTATGGATGACGTCCTTTGGAGACCCTAAATCTAATGCGAGAGGGCAAAAAAAAAACAAGAAAGGCCCTAGAAAACAAGATGCCTAGATTAGAAATATACTAAGAGACGACAAATGTTAGGACACAAATTGAATGAGGTGACACAGTGTAACAAGCAAGAAGTCTTTTATTCATCATCAAAACAGCAATAAATCAGGTGGAACAGCAGTTGTCGTCCTGTCCTGTTCTCGCGTCACGGGTTTCACGTCAATCTGACGATTTGTGGCACTGTCGTGACTCTTTTGTCATAGTTACAGGAAGCGGAATTTCTTGGGTTTTTTTTCTGCGAACAGGCCAAAATCAATGCGCGCGCGGACGTCATCCATAAAATTTACTTGGTGTGGCCTTACCTGAACATTGAAAATTACTGCACCAGACAAATTTTACCTGCACCACTCAGACTCTGAAAAGACTTTGAGAAGTATATAATGGATCATACTTAAAAATGTTCAGAAACCATTGCAGTTATCATTTCAAACATCATGTATGTAGCTGGTATTACAGTCAATGCAGCAGATAAAAGCTAACATACAACCAAATGTACATGTATGCATGTATATAAACCAA